AAGGAAGGAAGGAAGGAAGGAAGGAAGGAAGGAAGGGAGGGAGGGAGGGAGGGAGGGAGAGATAAGGGTCCTCCCTTGTACAGGATCCAACCTTGGATGTCTTCCCCAAACCCATATGGAAGGTTCTTGCACTTTCAGCTTAGGAGCAATGTCAGTAGAAGCAGAATGAGACCAGATCAGGAGGCATGTCAGAGCTCAGTCAGAAGTTTGAGTCTGCAGGATCCAAAAGCCTCCTGGTCCCTAATCTTCCTGACCCAGAGGGAAGCGTACAGAAGATCAAATGGGAGGGGGAGGGAGAGGGAGGGCGAGATCCATTTCCTCTCGCCTTGCTTCCAATGAAAGGGAAATCTTCCAGGGGGAGGAGGGGGGAATCACTCTACTTTGCTAGTACAAGCAATATGAGATTTTAAGTAAAGCAGTTGCTTTACTTCTAGACGTCTCTTCTACAGAGAGCAGACTGCTTTGCTCAGTACATTTAGAGACTGCATTTTGTGACTTGGGGAACCTACTTTTTACAATATATTTTGCTCTGTGTGTGTGTGTGTGTGTGTGTGTGAAAAATCTATTTATCAACCCACACTGAACCAATGCAGTAGAATAGAGTCCGTAACCTTCAATGAACCTTCATCCTGTAATGGATTGATTTGGTTGAGATAGATAGGCAGATAGACAGATAGCCACACACACACATTTGTGTGTGATTCATAAAAGCTGCGGACAACTTAAAGTATAATAAATCTGTCTTTAAAGATGTCACACGTCTATTTTTTCATTTTATTATAACACAAAAGAGAGGCAATATGGCTAGAAACCAGGAGATCATGAGTTCTAGTCCTGCCTGAGGTGCGAAGCCAGCTGGGGGATTTGGGGCCAGTCACTCTCTCTCAGCCCTAGGAAGGGCGAACCACTTCCAAAATCTTGCCAAGAAAACTGCAGGGACTTGTCCAGTCAGTCACCAGGAATCAACACTAACTTGAAGGCACCAAAAAAAAAGCCCACCCCCCCCCCAAAAAAGCAAAACCAGGCTTATTTATTTATTTATTTATTTATTTATGGCACTTACAGTATACGGCCACCTATCTCATATAATGATCCTAGGCAGCTCACAGCAATCAATAAAAGCAGAGATAAAAAACAAAGCCACCCTCCCCAGCAGATGCCACACCCAACAGCCCCCCAGCTCAACCCCCATCCTAGCCCGATGCTTGGGGAAAGAGCCAGATCTTCAGGCTAAAAAGGTGTGGGTATACTTTACGCCAGGGGATAAGAACAACTTCATGTGGGAAAATTTAGATCAGGGTCATGAAACAGGGCAGGGGAAGGGCTTAACTATAAACATACACGCACATACACACACCAGCATGGCCTATTGAGGGACCATCTATTTCTGCCTCTCCAGTAAGGTCAAGCGGAGCGGGTGTGCTCCAGGACATTTTTCATTTAAACGTCATTTTGCAGGACCAGAGAAGCGTGTCTTCTCTGTTGCAGCGCCTGTCCTCTGGAGCAGTCTCTCCCAAGATCCGTACAGCTCCCACCCAGATAATATTCCCAAGGTCCTTGAAAGCCTGGCTCTCTTTCCTGGGCTTGGGGTAAGATGGGTGTCGAGCCCCTGTTGTCGTTTTTTCTTGTCCCGCATATGGGCTTTTCCCCCACCGGATGTACGTGATTTCTTCTCCTCTCTCTCTCTCTCTCTCTCTCATAATTTTAATAAAAGTTTTTAAAACTTTTAAAAAGTTTTTAAAAAGAAGATAAAAATGAATACAAACGAATAAGTAAGAAGAGAAAGAAAGAAATCAAAAAGAAAGCTAAAAATGCAAGAAAGAAAAAAGAAAAATAGAAAAGAAAGAAAAAAGATGCAAAGGAGTGGCTTCTGATCTAAATAAAGTTATTTTATTTATATATCACATTTATATAGCCGCCCATCTCACACAAAGCGACTCCGGGTGGCGTACAACAATTAACCAAGTTATCTTCTCTCCATTTCACTGTCATTGCTTTTTAAGTGTCAGCCACCCAGAGCCGCTTAGAATCCAGTGGCCTTTAAATCTAATCAAATAAACAAGCCAACGAATAAATAAATACTTGGATCAATTTCGGATCTCCTATCCATTGCTAAAAATAAAAACCTCTAGAAATAATGGATCCTGCTTTTTTTTTAAAAAAAAAGAATTCTACTTTTTCTCCTAGCAAAGATACCTTCCTGAATTTTGGCTCCGTGTCTTTTTGAAATAAGTTGTTTTTTTTTTCTTCCCATTTTGACCACAGCTCTGTGTAACTCAAAAGCCAGCACATTATACACCCATTGGATTTTTGGCCCCTAACAGATGCCACCACCCGTGCTACAATCTTCTGTTTTCTTCAGCAAACCGGGCAACAACCGCCTCTACACCAAACGACAAAAGGGACTGCAGCTCACTAAAATTAGAAGGTGCCTAACAGAGGCAGTGAAAAAGCAGATAAAGCTTGATCCCTATGAAATTTTGACATGCGTACAAATCCTGGGGACTGGGAAAGGTACAAAGGGGAAAGTTCATCCTGCGTGATTATTTCTCTCTTGAGTGGCATTCGGCAAGTCTGAAACGACTCTCGCTGCAACTTCCTTCTCAGATCTTTCCTCACAGCGTCTTGAAGCCTTAAAACCAGCCCCTGTGCAACTCTGCACCTTCGCACAGCAGGACAGAGTTGAGCCGCAGAGAGAACACCCAAGCACACCCAGCGCATTGCGCATTTCTATCCTGCCATATACAGTAGAAAACTAGGAACCAACTTGCCTGCGAGGAAACAGCTCCCAGTCAGGCACTGTCCTGCCATCTTGCAAGTGGAAAACTTTGATTGACAGGGGCAGGCTGGTGTGAAAGATGGGGGGAGGCAGTGTGCATGTGCTGTTGCCAGCAAAGGTTCAAAGAATGTATGCCAGCTGGGGCCCAAGCTTCGGGCCCCATACCTGCCACAAGGGGGCAGCATCAGCCTATTCCATAAACATACTCCATAGAGAAGCAGCTGGTCAAATTGTTAAGCATAAATTTGTCCTTCACTCTAAAATCTGCTTGCATTTAAATAGTGTGGGTGGAATAATACAGGGAGGCTGTGCAGTAGCTGTATTCAAACAACATCCTTAATCAGGTTAGGACATCTGCACAATATGCTAAATGTGGCTAGTGTTAATCATTGTTGGGGGAGGCGGGGGGGGCTTACTGTGTTGTGTAAACCAGTCCAAAGCCTCAAATCCAGAAGATGGGTTAATTCAATAACCAGGTTATGTGTGCTGTATGATGCCACCAAATAGCATTAGTACCAGGGGCAGCAGGGAATGAGAAGGATAGCCATAGAAAATGATAGTAACAAGAGAGTTCGTGGTGCATTAAAGACTAGAAAACTAAAGTAATGACAAGTAATAAATGGATGCATAAGATAACAATTAAATGTATAACTGAACAAAATACTAAATATTAGATGACATTAAATCATGATATACTATTGACAAAGTAGCACAACATATTAAGACCATGAGAAAGGGCGATGACTATGTCTAATAAAAAGCAAAACGTCGCCATGCCCCAGCAGAGGAATTCAATAGGAGACTCTAAGCGTGGAAAAGTTAGATTTAGATTTGATCATTTCTAAGGGCCTGTGATACTGAAAATTGAGACGTGGCAGAGTTCGCTTGTTTGGCTCAGCCCCATTGCTGGACCATGGGCCTTTGGACATATATACCCAGCCATGGTACAAGCATGCCCAGGCAACATCTTCTTACCCGGCACTGCCTTCTTCTAATCCCCAGCCCAGGACTGAGGCAGGCTTAAGTCACCCTTGGCTTTACCAGGGTGAAAGTGATGTTTTCCCCCTTGAGCTGGTAGCATCCAATGACAGTCACAAGGTATATAAAACCTGCTACGCTTTGCCACTTATTACATTGGAGATGAAGTGAGGTAACCAGTAGCAAGTGGGACTGGAATGGTTCTTAACTGGCCATGTCATACATGTGCCAGCTCCTGCCTTTCTTCTGGTCATTGGCCAATGTCATCCACAGGTAGCCACTCCTTGAGGGACGGGGTGGTGGTGGGAGGAATGATGATGCAGGCGTCATGATGTCATGATGCAACAACTGCATGATGAGTTGGCGTTTTGACTTCATCGTGCTCCACTGGCCTCATCTGCTGCCATTCTGCTGTGCTCTCCTTAAGCAGCTGGAGACATCATCACCATTCCAGGCCCATCAAAACTACCTCTTCACGCAAAACTGCTCAGCCACAGTATTGTCAGGGTGTTAAGCCCCTTCCCAATTTAGCACAGGGTTAAAATAGCAGGGAGGTTGAATCACGTAAGAGTGAAAAATATAGGATGAAAGAGTAAAACATTAGAACACCTAACCCTCTTGCTCCCATTGCCTCCTGGACACAGAGGACCCTGGAAATCAGCATTTTTATTTATTTATATTTATTTATTTATTTATTTATTTATAAATCAAATTTACGTGCTGCCCATCTCACTATATAAGTGACTCTAGGCGGCTCACAAATAAAAACCATAACAGTAAAAAAAACTTAGAAAAAACAGAGTTAGAAGATGGATTTCTATATTTCTATATAAGGAAAAGAAAGGAAGGAGAGAGAAATCCTAAGTTAAAAAAATGCTGTTTGTGACTCAGCTCTCTTCAATCTTCTTCTTTTTTAAACATTATTCAGTGCCGTATATGTGGCCTTGAGCTCCTGAGGAAAGACAATTTATCAATCTAACAAATAATACTGTGCCCTATATATCCATGTAACTCTCACATTGGACTACAACAGAATGGCCTGCAGGATATTTATTTGTTAGACTGATACCCTGCCTTTCCTCAGGAGCTCAAGGCTGCATACAGGGCATTCCCTCCCCACTTTTCCCCAACAACCCTGCTGGGTTGAACAAGTACAACTGGCCCAAAATCACCCAGGGCGCTTATGTAGCTGAAGGAGGACTGGAACCTGGGTCTCCCTGATCTTGATCCAGCATCTTCATCGCTGGACTCTATTTGGTCTTTGACGGAGAGCAAGTGGCTGGCCCAGAGCCACTCAGGCTACTTCCATGCCTGAGGGCAGACTTGAACCTTAATAATTACACTACAGTGCCTCTATCAGCATCCTCCACCTTTTCAAAATTAAATAAATTGGCACAGATGGTTGTTTTAAGCTT